GTATCACAAAAGAAAGAAAATCCCACTGCATGCTCACATACAGCAATACCAAAAAATCCACACATACCCACATTTGAATTACTGTAACTAATGCTCATAACTGTATTATACTTTATTCAGTCCTTGTACAGCCCCAAAGGTAGGTGCACAGTGACAGTTTTATTTCCTTTAATTGTTCTTCAGATTCCCTACAATTGTTAACCTAAATGCACTATATACTGTACTTCCTTACTTTAAAAAAAAGATGTACCCAAAGTCGTTAGTGTTGTTTTCCTTCACTGCTGACACACTGATCTCTTGTATGTCTTTAGTCTTCAGAAAGTGGAATGCAGCTCAGGTATGATATTCCACGTTGGTGTTGGAGATATTTTATTAGTAGTTAGTGGTAGCAGTTATTAGTAAGTTGTGGATAGCGCAGTGTACTTAGCTGTGGTCTGCTGGTGGAGCAACATCAAAGCTTGTGTGACCAACGGACCAAATAAACTGATCAGGGGAGCTCTGTGATTGGCTGCAAATTGGACACTTTTTAAGCTGTGGTTGAGAGGAGGTCATGGAACAAACTGTTATCCATCATTGATAATCCTGCACTGCACCTTTTGTACTGCTTACCAGACAGGCAGCAGAGCAGCTTCTATAACAAGGACACGTATCGGAAATATTTCAGAGCAATAATTCTTTACAACGCTATTTTATTACTTTAAATGCTGTAACAAAAGAATGTCACAAATATGTGGTAAGTATTTCCCATTCTTATCCCTCTGAAAAGCTCCCTGGCTACTTAGCTGTATATTTATGATCACTGTTCTGTGGAATGATGTAATCTCATCCAATACATTTGGCTGAATCCGAGCGCACAGAATGTGCCTGTTTCTCATTCTGTATTCTGTTGCTTCTGTCAAAAGTGAAGGCATCGATAACATTTTGATAGGCTGATGGTTTTCTTTCTTTCAGAACTCTACTGTTTCCCTTTTGTAAGTTTTGTGAACAACAGCCAACATGCATGCATGTTCCCCTTCATGCAGGGGAACATTCTTGACTTGATGCACAACATTCATCATGCATATGCTGAAGACTTTCCTACCAGATTGTTCATTAATGTTTATCTCTGCCTGCTTGCTTTATTAAAAAAAAATATTTAGATTGCAGCAGCTTTTAATTTAGGGGTTAGTAAGTTATGACATGATTTCGTTTAAGTTTTAATGTTAAAGCACAAAATTGAAGAGCAGTGATGTGCCTGATGTTTTAACGCAATGTAGGTAGATCACATGCTAGGCAGAGAGGTACACATTGACATACAGGATGTCTACATACAGGAGACAGGTTACTAATGACCGAGTGATTGCAAGTCAACCTCCTACCTTTTCAGAGAGAAGATGACACTCAGTAATGTAAAGCCTCATTACATGCCATGAATCAGGTGGTATATGTGTGTGTATGCGCAAAAGGTTTGCATTTTCGCGTGTGTCATAATGTGATCAGTAAGTGACAGCAGAGATGAAAAGTGATGCCAGGTGGACCAGTCTCTATCAAATATGTGAAAGTGTGTATCTTCAGCAAGGTAATGATGAAAAGAGTGCATATGCAGTAATGCGATCACCTTGTCAACGTGACGATAAGAGGTGTAAAATCTAAGCTTTATATGTGTGTAACTCCTGTAAAAATGTGTCTGTCAGGGTTTTTCCAAGGACACAGAGAGAGATGATGGTGACGGATGAATCAAATTTCAGTTTTCTCAGGTAGAACATTTAACTACTCTGACTGTAACTCAATTTCTGTCTCTCTGACACACAGACAGGACAAATCTAGGAAACATCAGATGTCTACAGTTCACACATACAGATGCTAAATCAGAAGCAGTGCAGGGAAAATGCAAGCATAACTATTCATCAAGTAAAGAGTAGTTACTACTGCACTGAGACAATTTGACCATGATCAAAAAGACCCCTCTACCGGGATGAAGAAAATGTTTCGAATTAAGAAAATTGAGCTAAAGCTTAGTAATTTTGCCACATTTTGTCTTGTGGAAAAAATATGATTTCAAAGATAGTCAGAAAAACAACATTGGATATTTTTCAGGTAAATATGAAATCGCTATTTCCAACAAGGGAAATAAGGGTTGGTGCTGGAAAGTGGTAGAATCTCACCTTCTGTGGCAACACTATTTCAGTGAGTATCAGTCAAAGTGAAGAGTACTGCTGACGGACACATGACAAAATGGGAACTATAAAGGAGGGTGTGGTGGGGCGTGATCTGAGTTATTCTTTGTGTTTCCTGGTTTTCTCCTGGCTCCCAGCAGTTTAGATTTATCTTTTACCTTTTGACCTTTCTTTGTTTGGGACTTATATAAGCAATAAAAATTAACTTCCCATTTATTCATTCTGCCTCTGATGTCCTGCATTTGAGTTCTGGTCTGCAAACCATGACAGCATCTTTATATCTGTTAGTGTACAAGGTGTGATGACAACGTTTTGGGACCCAGGCCATAAAATTTATCTGATCTCTCCTCCAAGATTATCTTCACACACACACCACAACTATTTTTAGATCACTTCCTGGAAGTTCTGCTCTGTCCTTTCGCACTTTTGCAAGTTTTCTGGCTCATTTCACTGAACTTTTTGATCACACCTCATACGTTTGCATGTTTGTATGTCTCTTCCAGTATATGGAGGTCATCGTGCGCAGATGTCAGTCATACTCGGCACGGTGACATTTGCTGGAATAATTACATACAAACACACGCGCACACATATACTTTAAAACACAAACATGGGCAGGCTCCCCACAGAGACAGAAAGGACAGCGAAAGCATGCAAATTAGGTTTTAAATCTGCACTGACATTTAAAATCTAACCTATCATCTCTGCGAGGAGTCAAAATAATAAACAGCACATGCTTTTTCTCGCTTTCCCATAAAAACATTCACTGGACACTGCCAGTATCTTGCCAGAAAAATAAATAAATAAATAAATAAATAAATAAATGAATAAAATAAGCCTTTAACATAATGTGAAAAGGTGGCTGTTACCTTGCAGCTACATTTTCCTGTTCGATCTGCACAGCCACAGGCTCCTCTCTCCTGGTCGCAAGTCTGGCTGTCCGATCCTGCGATGTTGCACTTGCACTGGACGCACTGTGGGGGAAAAAAAACAGCAAGTTTTTGCTATCAACAACATGACAGGCCTTAGAGGAGGGAGCAGAGTGTGTCCTAGCTTTATGCTTCACTAAACAACTTACTCCAAAATGAAAATATTGCCATTATCTTCTCACTCCAATGTCAACTGACAATTTCAGACAAACACCAGAACCAGAATTTTTCTGGTTTGAAAAGTGTAAAAAAAACAACTTTTTTCTGAACTTTTTAAAGAGTGTCTTCCTTGATTGATTCAGTAACCGTGCTAAAAACAAAACAACTCCTCTATCATAAGCTACACAACAAAGTCAAATGACAAATATAAGATCATGTATAAACTTTCAAAGTCTTATCAAAGAAAGACTGAAACAAAACAAAAAAATGGCAATAATGTCCATTTAAGCTTTGATTAAAATGTCACTCTATATTTAAGCTATAGGATGTTTTTTTTAATAATTCATTTTCATAAAAGGCACCTGTGATACAGAAATATCAGCACGTCTTGAAAAGTTTGGCTCTGCCATAAAAATGATCTAATACTGGCTTTGATGAAACTGTTGGACTTTTATAAATAGGAAAGGAAACAAATGCTTTTATTCAGGTTTTCAGTGCTCATAAAATTAATGACAACAGCATCGTCATGTCTATGAAAATCTATTTTGCTTGTCCAACTATAGCTACAAACATTATCCAGTCCTAATGACTGAATCCCCGTAGGGATTCTCTCCAGCGTCTCGTCTTTCATGTCAGCAGAGATAAAAGTGACATTTATGACAATATGAGAAATATTAGCAGCTTTAATCTGGACCATTTACCTGAGGAAAGTCTCTGTATCCAATCTGGCATTCATTGCATTTATCTCCTCTGAAGGAGTCGTGACAGATGCAGCAGCCTGTGTTTACGTTGCACTGCTGGGTCACTGAACCGATCACATTGCAGCCACACTCCTACATATAAACACACAAAAAACCCAAATTCTATTCAGACATGAAAACATCAAAGAAAAACTTTGTATGTGTATAACACAAACTTGTATCTTAGTGCAACGATTCAGTCACGGTTTTGTGTCCACAAAGTGAGCATGACAACTTTACATGTATGCATGAGTGGAGAGAAGAACCTCCACTTGTTACAGTGGACATCATTGTATAATGCCATGTTCCCCTAATAGATGTTGCAATTAAAGATGAAAACACCACAAAAAGTAGATATTTGTTTTGCATGCTCAGAAGCAAAGACTGCAGATGGACAAATATCATCAAGTAAACTATGTCTCTGCTGAAATGAGAGGAACTACGACAGAATCACAGCAAGACTTTCAGCTCCGAATCGAAATTTTTTAAATAGGAAATCTTGATCTACTGACCCAAAGTAACACTGTTAGAGTTAATAACCCAATATTCAGCAATATTTTATGAGCTGATGACATTTTTTTGTTTTGAGCATCTCCACATGACCTTGAAATTAACTTTTTTTTTGCTCGCTCTGTGTTTTCCTTCCTGTTGTGCTTTTACTGAGACCTCATTGACATCTAGGTTGTAGCTTTGTGATTTTCTGTGTTTTTTTTTATCATGTCTGATTCCTCTTCTCTTAGTTGTCCCGGTGTACTCCTGTGGATTAGGTTGAAGCGTCTAATTACTAGTAGCCTGTTCCTGTTTCTAATAGTTTACTGTTATCGCTGCCTCACGGCTCATTGGTCAAATAGTTTCAGAGCAAAACAACACCTTCTAAAGCACAAAAACAAGATAAAGAAAAAAGCTGAGTAAACCAACACAGTAATAGAAAACAAAATGCCAAAGAAAGGGAGCATGTAGAGATCAGTTGAGTGAGGAATAAAGAACTGAAAGCAGGTTATAAGAGTGTGGAAACAAGGCAAGGGTAGTCCAAAAATTACCTACATACACTATACATAACATAATAACATCATATACACAAACAATCACTTAACTTACATCTATTGTAAAATATTAATTAAACACCTGGATCAGTGAGTACAGTGAATTTCAAATTTTATCAGGAAGACATTAAATACATTTGAAAATATATTATAATTTCACAAATAATGATTACTTTTTATTAAATGCACAGATATACCTGTTAGTTTCAGGTTTAGAAGTGAAAGTTAAAAAAATAAAAATAAGTAAATAAATAAATTAACAAAAATGTGTTGTCTGAAAAATATTTTCTATAATTACAGAAGGCCCCAAGGTTGTGTGGTGATAAAGCATTCTTCAGTATCCTTCATATTTCTGTTTCATGTTCAATAACCCATTCATTATGGCATGTGGTGTCCGTATGTACACTCATAAGTGAGTGTCCTTTGATGTGGACGCTCACTGTTCAGCCTACCTTGCATCCAGTTACGATGTCATGCCCCCAGTGGTTGGGAGCACAGCGATCGCACCTCTCACCGATTGTGTTCGGAGGACAGATGCACTGCCCAGTGTTAGCATCACAGTTGTTCCCCACATGACTGCACTGACATGCTGTAAAAGAGGCAGAAAGGTAGTTAAAGAGAATTTAAAGCAAAGAGAGGTGAGCGAGCATAGCAGCTGAAAAAAAAATCAGCTGTTATCAACAAAAATTGAATTTTAAAGGCCAGTTTAATAATGGCTGGTATGAAGAAAAGAGCTTTGGGGTTGTTTTTAGAGGGAAGAATTTGTCCTTTGTGGTAGTAACTGCTGCAGAGGGCACACACAGAGACTCATAAGAGACACTTACTGTTGTGGTAGGTAAACATAGCTCTCTAATGTTAACTCACCTGGCTATTTGGGCAACTGACATGAGTGTAACTGTGTCATTTATTCAAATTCAAGAGAAATACAACATTAAATGCACATAAGGAAAACATTTTCCTAAATAAATAAAACATACTGAAATTTTACAGCACATGCCTTCACTTTCTATTCTTTTTAGGGGTTACACTCTGACTTAATTGGCACAGAATAATTCTGTCTCCACTTCCAGCTCAAATCACTGATGTACAAACCTTGACCTTTAATTTGAGGTGCGAATAGAAACGCGTGCTTGTTCTTACATCCCAATGGGTTCGGACCTTGAATCACCGCTACAGGATGAAGACTGGCATTCGGTGTGGAAAATTAATTACCTGGAACCCTCACAATTTTACACAGTACCAGTCACAGAGTGCAATAAGGGAAACAGAAGTTAACATAATAAATATAAATATATATTAGGCAAATTGATAAACTAATTGAAGAATGCCTCATTGAACATTCATATAGAGTTATGCAATTTGCATAAATACACACACACA